AAAAAGATTATCTAATTAGGTGAAGTTCAAGATCATGTGTTATTCCTATCTAAATTTTTTTGGCACACACCAAAATTTTGATTACCTAGGCGTAATTATGCACATACTTCAAATACATCCACATCATGCATTAAAGCTAGAGTACCCATAAGGATAAGGACTAGTCGGTCATTGAAATAATTAAGAAAGTGAAGTGGGTTTATCTCATCATCCCAGCTCGTATTTCCATGCAGAAAATATGCTAGGTAGCAAGCTACACATGCACCTAGCGAGGTTCTTGACCAACAATTTCTTCCACTTTTATACCAAATTCAACCGTTGTAATCACTTATAAGAGTGCTAACCTTGCAGTGTTCTTAATTATTCATGACTCTCAAATGTCTTAGTCCAATAAATCAAACTTTGAATTTTGAACCGTGGAATTGCTTCACGTACGACTTCTATTCAAGTCAATGCCAATTAATATATTTTTTTCAAAAAAAAAAAAACCAAGGGAAGAAGAAAGAATACTTAGGGTTTACTTTAGCCCTTTGGAATTTACGTGCTTGATTATTCACACTAAAACTAGTTGGTGAGTGTAGTTTTCGTTGACCTCTCCAAATGTTTACTTGAGCATGGACCTCAAATTGCTCTATTAATTGCACAAGAGCAAGAGACAGATAGATAGATACATTGTGAGAGAGAGAGAGAGAGACAAAGAGAGCATTCATGGAGGATTAGGAAAGGGACCTACGTTGTTGAAGTGAAGGAAGCAAAGGGTCCATGACGGTGTCTCCTAGGAATTAGTGTATGAGGAATGGACTAACGTGAACATCATGTTAGGTGTCACCAATGGACTAGGGTCTTCGAATTGGTCCCCAAGCCTTCATTCTCTAGCTCTCTACGTTTTACGCGGGCTTGTGGTGTGGGGGCAACTAAACGAGGGTTTCACATGCGATAATAACCCTTTTTCTACTACAAACCACGTGGCCACTTCAATTATTCGATTTCCCTTTCTCTTGTGTTTTTGAAATCTCTAAACACCTAGCTAAGTATGTGCTATATAACATGCATAAGCTTATTATAACTCAATTGGGCCAGTTTAATTTGAGCAAAACATGCAACCCAAGAAAACTCCTAAGATAAGCCAAAATGTTAACTTGGATAATGCCCTTTTTGAAGGTGCCAAATTCTTACAAGTTTGTGTTTAGCAATCGACAAACCAATAATTTCCTGCCCCAAAATCAGATTCTTGATCATAAATTTAAGCACATAAACAATCCATGTAATTTACTGACTAACAATCTGGGGTGTGTTTATGTCCATCGCATTATTTTGGGATTTCGCATCATGTCTTTGCTTGTCGTCCCATAGCAAAGCTTTATGTCTGTCAAATGTTAACTAAAATGTTCATAAATTGCGTCAATCAGATCATTCTAGCTACATGGGAGACCTGCATGGTAAGAATTGGGGGACCCTATATTTATTAAGCTTTTAATTTGGATTAACCCCTTATTCTGGAGACACTGTTGTCCTTTCATGTTTATTAGTCAATTTTTGTCACTTTCAAGAGTTTCGACATTTTATTCCACCGCGTGCCTCGACAAATTAAGCATATTATGTTTGGTAACCCGGTAAAAATGATTTTGCAAATATTTTTTTAAATTGGGAAATTATTATATAGATACTTTTTAATTGTTTTTTAATGTTTTTAATAATAACATATCAAAAAACCATTTAAAAACACTTGTGTTTAGATAAGTAAGGAAATTACGAACCTATCATTTGTGGGAAAATACCTCACGAATATGTTCATAAAGGATATACTACAACCTTCACGAGATTGTTCAAAAACAATTTTCTTCATCGTTTCTTATGAAATAAAAAGTCAAAATTAATAGCTCCTACAAATGAATTTAATTATAGTTTAATTAACAATAATATCCCTCTTTTCATATATATATATATATGTATAACTGAAGTTCGAAATTTTCATTTATAACATTAGGGAAAATAAAAAGCATGAGATAAATTAAAATAACCGGTTTAGTTGACGTTATTATCGAAAATTAAAAGCTAACAAAATAAATACCTTCTGGTAACTTGTTAATCATTATCTAATTAATTACATTTATTGTTGTATTGATTATAGATGTTTAATAAATAAAAATCTATAATATTGATTACAGATGTTTAGTAAATATTATTTTATACGTACGTTAATGTTTAAAGTATTTGGCTTAAATTTTATAACAAAAAAAAAGGTTAAAAATTGACTTGGAATATCTAACAACTCTTAAAAAATGTTCTAAAAACACCCCTAAAACCAAAAAATTATACAAAACTTTAGGAATTTGATCCCCCTCACTTTTGAAGCTAATCAAGGTCGCAATTGAGCATTATTAAAAATAAAAGAAAATAGAAGATAAAATCAAGGGAAATGAGAGAGACCCTGGCACCCAGCTGAGGTAATTGACTGGATCGAGATGGTCCACACTAATTAAGTAATTAATTACCAACCATATCTTATTACAATATACACTCTTAGCTAGAGGCTACTTCCCAGTAGTTTCAAGTCTCACTTGATCACTAACCCACCTTATAATTACTTATGGAAAGATTAAGAAAGTGATACGAATATGAGCTGTACCTCACTTCACAAGAATCGAATGATGAAATAAGGCAAAGAAAGAAAAAGTCCTTTAAATCTGGAAGCTGATTCCCTGCCCGTATGTAACACCACCACCATCACCACCATCCTCTCACCTACCTAGCTTTGATTATATGCAGCTGCCGTACGACTAAACATACCAACCAAACTAGCTCTTAATAACCTTATTTCCTTAGTTTTAAGTACTTTTTTTTTTTTTTTTTAAACTAGTTAGCTAGGATGATCGTATGTATCACCATGCATCAAATTGAAATGCTTGGGTGATGAAATTTCATTAATAATTTTATATTATTTTATAACATATATCTTCAAGTAAAAGTTTTTTAAATTTTAAATTTCATTATTTTGCATTTAATTATTTAATTTTAATTAAAAAATTTATATATATAGGGTTACTGTTATTTTGTGTTTAATTAAAAGAAAAAAAATGAGGTAGTGAGAATCACTTTACTAGTAATACTTTTTTCGTTTTAAAAAAAGTACTAATTGTAACTGAATCGATTATCAAAACTATAATATTATGTTAAAAAAATCATCTTAACTCAAAAACTTAAATTATTAGATGAGTTTTAATTAAGAAATGGTTTTATATTACTAGTAGTACGTTTTTCGTTTAAAAAAATTATTAATCTTTTCAATTTTATCTGTTTTAAAATTTTTATCTGATAAAATTACTTAATGTACTTGTTTTTAAATATCTCTAATTAAAAATTATTTTATAAAAAATTATCAAATGCAATTTTTTTAAAATAAAAACAAAAGATGCACATATGGTATAGCAGTTAATAATTTTTTAATCTATATATGTAAAAAGTAAAAGAGTCAAAGATATTTAAACTGATCAGAGAGTATTAATTTACAATGGGAATAGTCAAACTCAGAAATCAGCTAGCTAGCAGAAAACCAAGGGCGAACGATTGGTTGGAATTAAGCTGTTGGGATGGGAATAATTGGTTTCGTTTGATATTTTTTTCGAATCTTTACCTTCCACAACTCATAAAAGCATTGACTATCCATTTTGCTTTATCTGTCACGCAACAAAGATTTATAACGAACAAAGGATTATAGCAGTCTACACCGTCCATGTGTGGTAGCCAAATATCCTGAACAATGTTGGCAATTTACTCAAAATTGATGGTGGTTCCTTTTAATGGGATCATGGAGTATGGGATTTGGAACCCTACGTACCTCTCTGTTTCCTTTGAGATCAATTTTAATTTGTGACCAATACGTAGGATTAAAAAGGGACTAAGAAGGCAAAAGTAGCCTTTAATTTGTTCACCTTTCACATTGTTAGGATTTAATTATATATTTAGTAGCTATTAATTAGGAGATTGAGCCCAAGATGAGTGGCATCTAGCCAGCTACTTACCAATTTTGATTTACTCCCATCTATATAATTTAGGAACATTGTGTTACAACCTACAAAGGATGATACCAACTTGTTTGTTTCCACTAGAGACTAAAGGTTTGACTTGAAATCAAAAGGTTGTTGTCGACCAATTCTTTTGGGAAAAATTTTAAAAATTAGAATTAAGCAGAAACAAAATGGACCAATTTGAATGTTAAAGAGGGAGAATGTGGCCGACATGGGTTTGATATGGGGCAATAGAGCCAGGAGCATATGGACCCCCGGTGGTGGCATCCTCTAGAGTTTCAAGTCACCATGAGACTTTGTGGGTCACTATTTAGCCATTTTCTATAAGATTTGCTGTCGGTATATGGCATTTAAACACTACTTCTGCTGCACAATTAGGACTACAAATCTCTTTCTTTCCCTTTAGTCTCAATTGATTAATATAGTAGAATTATTTTGTTTTCTACTTCCTACATGAATTCCTATAATATCAAAGAATATATATATTGCTTATAGATAGCCCCACGCGATTTTGCATTTGGTAGAGCACACTTTTGAAGCTAAAACGGTATGGTATGAGTGTAACACTATCAATGTTGTGACCAAATTTGAGCATAGGAATGTGTGATGTCTTGTGGGACGGTGCAGAATGCGCGTAGAATTAACATTAGTTGGATGTCCTAAATAATTATTAAGCATAAGAAATCATGTCTCTATGGTCAAAATTGTCTTTTGCCGATCTCTTAATATATATACACACACATATATATAGATATGCTATGCTAGCTTCATTGACGGGCAACCTCACCACTTCAACACCGATCCATAATTCCTTATTCAAAATTATATAGATTTCAATCCAAAGAGAACTTCTCCTTCCATTCTCAATTCTCTCGTCTTGAAAATCCCTTCTTGCTACGTTCACATATAGTTATTTCTTACTTTCAAAACGATTGCTAGTGTTATTTAATTGTTTCAATAATAGATACCAAAATGAGGTTGTTGTCTAGAAAAGCCACGTGTAATACTCATGGACAAGATTCGTCTTACTTCCTAGGATGGCAGGAATACGAGAAGAACCCATATGATGAGATCCAGAATCCAACAGGCATCATTCAGATGGGTCTAGCAGAGAATCAGGTTGGAAAACCATGCATATATATCCCAAAGAAAAAAAACATATATATCAAAAAATGTTTCATTTTATCTCTGTTTTACAGAGATATTATGTACCAACAAAAACTGTTTCTAGGTTGTCTTCGTTGTCCATATGCTTATGGAGTACTACTATATATATATTAGAATAACATGGTAGCTTACCACGTTCCATTTTGCAGCTCTCTTTTGATCTTCTTGAGTCATGGCTTGCTGATAACCCGGATGCAGCTGGGTTCAAGAAAGATGGGCAATCCATATTTAGAGAGCTTGCTCTTTTCCAAGATTATCATGGCCTTGCAGCGTTCAAGAAAGTAAGTTCATTATTTTATGGTCACAAAACTTATTAATACTATAATTATATACGATGTTAAAAGATTTATGTATCTAACTAGCTTGGTTCCATTATTGTTTTACAGGCATTGGTGGAATTCATGGCAGAAATAAGAGGCAACAAAGTGACCTTTGATCAAAACAAAATAGTACTCACTGCCGGTGCAACTTCGGCTAATGAGACCCTCATGTTCTGCCTTGCTGAACCCGGCGAGGCCTTTCTTCTTCCCACTCCATACTACCCAGGGTAAGCATATTAATTATATATATGGTATATACCATATCTTACTATGTACTTTCCCAGTTACAACAATGCTAAGTTATTACTTATTATATATAAAATCAATGAAACGTACATTTCTAATCTTGATTAATAATTACTTAATTATTCTTGCAGATTTGATAGAGATCTCAAGTGGAGAACTGGGGTTGAGATTGTACCCATTCAGTGTACAAGCTCAAATGGCTTCCAAATCACTGCACCAGCCCTTGAAGAAGCTTTTCAAGAAGCCCAAAAGCGCAACCTAAGGGTTAAGGGAGTCTTGGTCACAAACCCCTCAAACCCTTTGGGTACTACAATGACTCGCAATGAATTGAATCTTCTTTTAAGCTTTATCACCGAAAAGGGCATTCATTTAATAAGCGATGAGATTTATTCTGGTACAGTTTTTAGCTCTCCAGGATTTGTAAGCATCATGGAAGCTTTGAAGGATAGGAAATGTGAAAATAGTCAAGTTTGGAATAGAGTTCATATTGTGTATAGTCTATCAAAGGATCTTGGACTCCCTGGTTTTAGAGTTGGTGCAATTTACTCAAACGATGACATGGTTGTATCTGCAGCAACCAAAATGTCTAGCTTCGGTTTAGTGTCTTCTCAAACTCAATATCTTCTCTCTGCTCTTCTCTCCGATAAAAAGTTTACGAGGAATTATATCTCAGAGAATCAAAAGAGGCTTAAACAACGTAAAAAATTGCTGGTCAAGGGCCTTGAAAAGGCCGGAATCAGCTGCCTAAAGAGCAATGCTGGCTTGTTCTGTTGGGTTAACATGAAACTTCTCCTGAGTTCTAACACGTTTGAAGCAGAAATGGAGCTTTGGAAAAAGATTGTGCATGAAGTTAAGCTAAATATATCTCCTGGTTCTTCTTGCCATTGTACGGAGCCGGGGTGGTTTCGAGTATGCTTCGCTAACATGTCTGAAGAAACACTAAGCCTAGCAATCCAACGATTGAATTCTTTTGTGAAGTCCATGAACAATCAAAGCCACCACCAAATCAAGAAAAGCTCAAGAAGAAAGTCCCTCACCAAGTGGGTTTTCCGGCTATCGTTTGATCATGACCACCGTGAGCCTGAGGAACGATAGTCTGGTAAGTGTGTTATAATTAATTTTTTATTTTAATTTTTTTAACCAAAAACTGTATTTTTGGTTCATAAGCAAAATTTCGTTTTGAATTCTAGAGAGTGCACTCGGTCCCTGCGTGGATTTGAAGTGGCTCTAAGCTAGAATGTTTGTTCTGTAAACGGCCTCTTGTCCCTAGCATAAAAGGATATGATCAAATTTCATTAATTCTGAGTTGTTTAATATCATCAGAAAGCCTCTTCAATTCTTCTTCTTCTTCTTCTTCATGATCTTGTGTATAATTATGATATGATAGACTCCATCATTTACGTATACATTTGCAACTATAAACATAATGGCTGCCCACGTATTGGTGGATAGAGATTAGAGATAGGTGACGTTTGTTGCCGACAAGGATATCGTCGGCGGCCGTTAATTGGGCCTCAACCGACCTTGAACATTTTATATATACTGCTATTTTTATACACTTTCTCGATCTTGACGTTGTTTAAGCCGTGGGCGTTGGGAACTAGTTCTTATTTCTACACTACTCTGTATGTAGTGGGTTTGCGTGGGTCAAAAGGCTAATCAGTCAAAACTCAAATGCCATACATCTTCTAACTTCTAATCATGGAAGGAACTAGGGTTTCCAATATATTGATATTTGTCTATTTTTCTTTTTCGTTTTTGTTTGAGAAAAGCTAAAACAAATTCAGAAGACTCCCATACTTCTCTTAGCTTCAGGAAAGAGGCATGTAAAGTAAAGACAATAACTGTCCGGCCGGATTGTTTTAATTCAAACTTGTCATTATGCACGCAAGCAATAGAGAGGAGGAGTTTCTTACAAACATGCATTTCAACGCTTTTTTTCTTTTTAAGCCTTCACTATATAACAGAGGATATTTTTCTTGTTTTACATAATTATTAAATAAACTAAAATCATTAAAATTAAAATAATGTTTCATTGAAAAAGATTATTAAAATCACTAAGGTATTGGTACAATAATAAACAATTTGATTTGTAAACAAATTTTTTTTATCAATGTAGCAAATTCAAATAGTAAAATTATACTTTTTTTAAAAAAATTAAATCTTATCATTTTTTGTTTTGAATAAAATGAGACATATCTCCAACATTACAAGAAGTAAAAACCAATATATATAGTAAATAGACTGTTGTATGTCAATTCTCTTTTTATGTGAATTTTTTGGTCTAGGGTTAAAATGAGTCTGCTAACTTTAAAAAGTATGTTTTCTAAAGCCACGCGGTTTTGCAGCTTATTTAAACCAATCACAATTTTTGTGTTCCAAAATGACCAAACTTTAGGAAACAAAGCCTGCCTATCTATAGAGAGCATAAAATATTTCTTTAAATTAATCCAATCAAATAATAATGCAAGCTTCTCAATTATATATTGGGGATGATCATATATATATATATATATATATTCTGAAAATTATACAAGCTAATTTAAAGAGAATCAATTTACATGTCAGGGTTTAACTGAAATTTGTTTGTTATCTCTCTTTAATTTTATATTAATGAATAATGATAATGATCAAGAGCTGAATTAGAGTACTGAGATTTAGAGACTAGCTCATGCATGTGATCAGCCAAGGACCAAATCAAGGAAACTTTTTTTTTTTTTTTTTTTGCAAAAATAATTTTAAAAAACGTAGTTCTAAAATTATAAGAATAGTACTCTCTCTAATCATAAATATTTTTTTTTAGTTAGTCCAAGCACTAACATAATATCTTTTATAAATGGATTGGCATGGTATGTGATTTGACTATCATATTTATAATATATTTTGTGGGTTATAATCTTAACTAATTAAGGAGATATTGAAAAATAATAATAATGACAATCTGAAGGAGACATCGTATTGAATTGAAAATATGAATGACATGTGATGCTAGTTTGGTTAGTTATAGAAAATGGGTGATCATTACCCCGACTGATTTTATTTTATTTTATTTTCCTGATTCTAGATATAGAATTCTCAATAAGATTATAAGTTATGACAAAATTCTCTTACCAATTCTCATAATTGAGATTCTTCATAAAATTATTTGAAAAATAAAAAACCATTTTAAGGATATTATATATAAATACTTGCATCAATACCTTTTTGTTATTTTTATAAATGTAGGAGTCGTTGTATTTTAATTATTCAGTGTAAAGCACTTTCAAGATCATTAATTTAATATCGCACACGTAAAGATTTCGTTAACATGAGGTCATGTGCTTACACTTTATGGTTAATTGTCTACATAACCACGCCACATATGACCTTTTTTTTTTTTGAACATCCATATTGGATTGGAAACAACTAGGAAGCAAGGAGATGGCTAAGAAAACGTATAGAAAAGAGTTACAACCGTGCCAGAAATTCAACATCCCCATCCAAGAGCCTCCTTACTTGGATTATCCATGGATATGCTAGATTTTTCTTCAAAATTCAATAAGTAATTTTACTTTTTTTTTTATCTTTTTGGCATATAGCTCTAAACTATACAATAAATGAATTATATTGAGAATGTGTCTTGTCCAACACAAAATTTTGGATCACAAAATAATGAATACATATATTCCGACAAGGCTAGTATCCATACCTTATTTTTAAAATGCATTAGAAAATTTAATTTTATTAGAAAGTAATATAAAATTATTTTGGAGTTTCACCTAATAGCATAAGTGCTTGAATTGAGATGGTTTTTCGACATGATATCAAATCCTTGATGATCAAACTTTCATGAGTATGAATTTCACCACTTCTACTTTCTCTTTTAGTTAAAATTAAAAAAATTAAACATAAAGTAATGGTAGGTCTATACAAGTTTTAAGCTCAAAAAGCTTAAACTCTTGGGTTGAGATGATTTTTTAACGAGTTGGGTGGACTCAAAGTATGATCTACTTAAAAAAATTCTAATTATTACTTTCTTTAACCATTCATAGCAAATTGAAGCAAGTTAATCCAAAAGAACCTTGTTTTCTTTATCCGAGAAGGTGTGTTAGAGAGTCATATTATAAAACTATTTTCAAGACTTTAACTAACATTTTAAACTCTTAGATTGAGATGGTCTTTTGATAGGTTTGGTGGGTATCGAGTAAACCAATTGTTATTTTTTTTAACCTTTACTAACAAATTGAAGCAATTTAGTATAAAAGAACCTAGTTTCTTCAACTCAAATCTTAATGTCCAAATATGGATAATGTGGTACGTTATTGAAGATTAAAAGCTATCATCATTTCACTATAACACCAACCTCACATCATTTTGAGGGGATTCTAACTATTTTTTATATCTTTAGTAGAACCTATAGACTCTCTCTCTCTCGTCCCTCACTTTTTTTCAAAGCTCTCTTATTCACACACCAAATATCATCTAAAGCTTTATTTGTTAAAATTTTAACAATCCACCTATTTGTCACTTGACTTGTATCTTGTTAGCATTACTCATTCCTCCTTGCCTCTCACTCGCTTGCATCTATTCCACTTAGTTGGTCGATCGTTATTTCTAAAAATCATAACATTAGCTCTCTATATCTAAATTGATTTATCGACTAGTCATTTGATCGATTCTCAAGATTTCCTCTCGCACAATCCGTCATTCTATTTCCTTATTTCTTTTCCTAAGGACATGAATGAAAACAAAATATTTAAGACTTTTATGCATAGTAAAATGCACATTTACCTTTGTTTTCTTCTTACTAATAAAAAGCACCTTTACTTCATTATATATTTTAAAAGGCGGAAGAAAGATGAGTATTAAAAAACCTTCAAAAAGTTATGAAGGTGTGCAAAAAACCTTCAAAAAGTTAATAATTGTGATCAGCACCAAAACAAAAATAAAAAAATAAAAAAAGGTTGAAAAGTTCAATCGAAGGATGCAAATGAAAAAAACAAGGAGACAAGGGTCAAAATAAAACAAGTCTAAAAGATGAGGGACCAAATTAAACTTTAGTCATCAAACCCTAAAATACCCATGTAAAACCATCTCTTTCTCACCCCTCACACACAATCATACTCTCTCTCTCTCTCCAAAAATCCGATCAGCCCTCTCCCCTTTTGAAATTTCCAATCAGCCCATCCCCTAGCCTAGTTCCTTTTTATCACCGTCGTGCTTCATGCTAAAATGCAGCCCCACCACTACCAAGCTTGCCACCGACCTCTCAAAAGCCAGTCAAAGCTTTTTCCAACTAGCTAATAACCACCCATCTCCTTCGAAACACTAGCACCACCCATTCCAATAGTGATAACCTAACATTAATCGCCCTCACCATTAGGAGTCTCCGTTCCAGTCATCGATCTACCAGCGAATAGTTGGCCAAGAAAGAGCATCATTCGATCCACCTTATTTACATTAAAAACTAACATTGAGAGTTCAGTTTTCCTACCCTCTTTGCAGCCAATCCAAATCCAACGAACGTCCACAAGTAACTTCAATTGCAACCAACAACCGCCACCAACATCCAACTATGATCTAGTTACTAACAATCACACCACTTGATACCATATTTAGATCCGACTATGTAACAACCTTGACATGATAGACAAACATACGAGTTTGGTTAATTAAATTACATAAATAAAAAAGTATAAATTAAGAAGTAAAATCTATGTTCGCTCTCATTATTTTTTTTCAAGTTCTATAACCTTCAATATAGGACTTGAGAAATTTTTTTGATTTATTTGTCTAAGTAGGTTAGGATCACATCCTTTAACATACATTAACCTTGAGTTCTCTTAACAAGTCATACATGAAGGATCATGTAGGTAACTCTTTACCAATTGCATCTAATACAATTCCGAATCTCAATGGCATAACAACTCCTTGTCATCTCATATCTTATGTGAATACCAATATTTACCTACAAATTCAATAGGTCTTGAGTTATCTCAACGAGCCCAAAAATTCTTCTCAAGTTGAACCCAAACATTCAAGGACATATTATGGCTTATGATTTGATTCTCTCAAGAAAGAAGTAACCTTGAGTTATCTTAAAAAGCCAACAACGA